TTCCCATACCGGTATCAATTCCAAATTAAGCAGGAGATACAACGAAGGCACCAAGGGACAAATGAACCCTTCCGACAATATTCAACCGACCTCGCAACATTGATGAGAAGAGCAGGAGGCTTCTCACGACGCGACCAAATCGAACTAATTTACGAAAATATGTCACCAGAACTTAAAGTGCACATAAGAAGAAACAACATACACACGCTAAGCGAACTAGGAGTACAGGCAGCAGAAATTGAAGATATAGAACGACAACGAGCACTATTCCGTAGGAATACACGCTCTATACCGCAGTCACCGACAACAGCGGCAATATACAATGCGGCCGAACACTGCTGGCGATGCAAGCAAAGAGGGCACACAAGGCAAAGATGCCGTAATGAACAAAAGAAATTCTGCTCACAATGCGGAAAGGACGGAGTGCTCACGAAAAATTGCCACCCGAAGCCGGGAAACCACACAAGGACCGAGGAATAGGGCGTTCCTTGGTCACACATAAGCCCGCAATTAAATACTCTCCTAGACCGCACATACAGGTAATAATTGACGACAACAAATTCGAAGCTCTTCTAGACTCAGGATCCGAGATCTCCTGTATTAACCAAAAAACAGCGAATATGCTAAAGAAACAAACAAGAGTACAGGCACACACCACAACGGTGCGCCTCGCAGATGGTGGGAGAACAAGGATAACTGGAAGCCTAGTGGTGCCAATACAGATAAACAAGAAGACATACTGGCATAAGGTCCATATCATACCGACACTAGAAAGCGCCGTATTAATCGGGGTAGACTTATGGGCGAAACTAAAATTACCAATTTCTCCGCCAGCAATACAGTCGCATAATAAGAGGTACATGCGCACATGTATCATCTCGGAGGGCATGCAACCTCGCTCGGGGAAAGAAAACGCAAGGCTGGAAAGGTTCCTACAAGAAGAATTCTCAAAATTCGAAAGAATAAAGGGACCAACCACAATGGCGCAACACAAAATAAAGATAAAGCCAGGCACAGAACCAATTAAACAGAGATACAGGCCAAGAAATCCCGCAATGCAGGCAATCATCGATCAGGAAGTCGAGGAAATGGAAAAAGAGGGGATAATAGAAAAATCACGGAGTGCCTGAAGCTCCCCCATCGTACTAGTAAGAAAGAAGGACGGGAAGCACAGATTCTGCGTCGATTTCAGGAAGGTGAACGAAGTCACAGAACAGGATGCATACCCGCTACCTCAAATCACGGCGACACTAGACAAATTACGGGGAGCAAAATACCTTACAACGTTAGACCTCAAGGCAGGGTATTGGCAAATACCTTTGACACCGGAGAGCCGTCCAATCACCGCATTCACCGTACCGGGACGAGGCCTCAAACAATTCAAAGTCATGCCTTTCGGTCTACACTCCGCACCTGCCACATTCCAACGCCTCTTGGACACTATAATCGGACCAGAACTAGAAGAATACGTACAGGTCTATCTGGACGATATCATTATCGCAACAAAAACATTCGAACACCATCTGCAAATTTTAAAAGAAGTTTTTGTACGACTAAGGAAAGCTAGGTTAAAGCTG